AGGGGGATGGGTTAGCCCAGTGATGGGTATTAAAGAGGGCACATACTGCATGGAGCCCTGGGTGTTATACACAAACAATGAATCATGGAACAATACATCAAAAACTAATGATGTAATGTATGGTGATTAACATACCATAATAATAATAAAAAATAAACATTTATATATTTTGACTTGGCTTTTCTTTCACTTCCCATTCCTATTTGTGTCCCATCTGAAGGAGTATCTACTCTGTCACCTCTTTTTAACTCAAGTAGGCCAATGAATTCCCTGTCGGCTCTTAAAGCAGAGTCTTTTGTCAATCTCTTTTGTGTCTTTTGTTCTCAGTTTCTCCCCAGTTTTTAGAATAAAACCACCACCTAGTTTGCTAAGATAGTACAGTGTTAGTGATGAATGGTTTATGGGGTTTTCTTGTAAACATTACATCTCCTTTTGCTGAATCAGGATATATTCTTCACTCTCATCAAAAGACCAACCCATCACTTGCTATAGGCTTATCTTCATTTATTTTCAACTGTTTAAAGAGTTGTCAATAGACTTTCTGATGAAGGGATGGAGGCCATCTAAATCCATTATTTTAGACAATAATGCTACTTCTCAAAGAGTTAAAGAAAAAGAGAAGAGCAAACTCTTTAGCCTTAATACGCACCTATGCTTGGAGGTGAAATGGGCCAGGAAGAAAAGAAGAAAAAAGTAGAAAAAGAGAGTAAAGACAAAGGTACATATTGTTAGGAATCCAATATAGAATTTGGAACCCTACCAAGATCTAGTTTTCATCAGACATGGCCTTTGTTTCCACCCTTATTTTTACCCCTCCCAAATAAGGTAGGATATAATTGGGTATCATCTCTTAAATCATTTACTAATAACCATTAACAAACCAACTGTTCAAAATCCTTTAAGTGCCTCTTATAGGTGAAACATTGTTAGGTGCTAGACAAGATAGAAGAAGTATATAATTCCATGCCTGCCTTCAAAAGTGTTATTGTCTAGCTGTGGCAATTAGGGGTCTTTGAAAGGTTTCAAAAAGAGCAAAATAGACATTAAGTACTGAAAAATTCAAAAGGAGAAGGTGAGCATTGATCTGAGGATCTGAAAAACTGGTCTCTAATCCATCTCTATTTCCTCACTATGTGACCTTGGACAAATCATTTCTCTTTCAGGTCTTTCCTTTCATCCCATCCTCTTCCTCCACCAGAAAAAAAAAAAAAAAGCCATCCTAGAAGATCTCTAAAATGTACGACTATATGAGATGATTACTAATGAGCTCTTTTGTGTTGCCCAGATTGAAGTCTAAAGGTAGCTATGGCCCCCTGAGCTGCTCTCTTCATTTTCACAGACATAGGTATCAAGGTCTAAATTTTCCACAGTTCAGTATCAAGTCAGAGCTCAGAACCAAATTTTCCCATCCTGATGCTGTTATGTTTTCTAATCCTGGACCAAAGAGTGCATCTTTCAAAATGATAATTGTGACTCATAGAAAAAGCTTAAAATATATTACTGACACGGTTTACTTAGAGAAATGTTTCTTTAAAAAAATTGTTTATGTGAAAATGGGGGAAGGGGTAATTCTACGTATTAGAGGGAACAAGGTAAGCAATTGATTCCTTAGGATCTGAAAGGCTAAATATTCCAAAAGTCTACTGAAATACAATTCTCTCTGGCAGAGGTTAAGCAATTACGCAAGTGGCAGGACAGTGAGGGAAGCCCAATAGATGCACCTGGAGAGCGAGTAGAGGTGATAAACTGCAAAATCACCTGCCCAGTTCACATTATCGTCCTGGGTCAGACCTAGGGAAACCCTTCCAGCAGCCTCGGACTCAGGGCGCCCAAGTTTGCACGCTTCCACGCATTCTATTGATTCACACTTCCGTCCTTCAACAGGTAGCGCCAATTACAGCCCCCAAAACACGGCCCCCCATCATACTGGCCAATCTCGCCGTCAATCAAATACTACACCTACCTTTCTAAATTCTCCCCTCCCCCTTTCATTGCCTTTTTCTTCGGCCTATCCCCAAATTTCTTCCGCGCCTCGAGACCACGGAACTTGGCCCTATGGAGCCTAGGATTGGAGCCGAGGCTACTCCCGCCCTTTGACGTCCCGGAGCTCTCCGCCCCTTTCTCCGGCGCCGCGCGGCCCGAAGTGGAGGGGGCGGGGCGAACCAGGGGGCGTTTCAGGGGGCGGGGCTTTCATCCCACGGCGGGAGGGCGGAGCCTTCCTTCGAGCCTGCCTGCCTGGTTAGGACCTCGGAGAGCGCCGGGTGCCACGACCAGAGGGACGGGAGAAGCGGCGGCAGTCGGGCGGGAGTGACGCCTGCGAGCCCGCCTTCCTCCGCACCTTCAGCTTCTCGGGCTGGCTGGCAGCTAGTGGCGGCCGAGGAAGGTGCCTAAGTCGGGAGTCAGATAGTCATCCCTCTGGGACGCCGCCGCCGCCGTCTAGCCGCGGCTCCCTCACACCTGTGTGTGTGTTCATGAGCGTGAGCGCCCGCGTGCCAATTTCTGTGTGAGGGTTGCGTGTGCTCCGGCTGGGCGCGCTAATGTCTGTGTGAGGGTGTTTGTGTGTGCTCGGTGCCTAGGCGCTCGGCCCGGGGAGACACCGCGGGAGCGGCGGCTCTGCGCGCCCAGCAGGCTGAGGCGGGACTCGGGCCGCAGCTGTCGCCGCCACTGCCTCACGTCCCCCAAGAGCCGCCGCGGTGCTGCGGGGAGAGCTGACGGCTGGGCGAGTGCGGCGGCGGCTGCGG